CCTAAACTGCTCAGCCTAGGTCCATGATCCTTGACACTAAACTGCTCAGCCTTGGTCCATACCGCATGACCTTAAACTGCTCAACCACCATCTGTTCTGCATTACCCATTACACTAAACGGCTCAGCCACCGTCCATACCGCATGATCCTAAACTGCTCAGCCACTGTCTGTTCTGCATTACCCTAAACTGCTTAGCCTCGACCGATACTGCATGACTCTAAACTGCTCTGCATTGGTCCATATGGCATGACCCTATACTATACAGCATAGGTTCTTACTGCATGACCCTAAACTGCTAGGCCTCAGTCCATACTGCATGACCGTAAACTCCTCAGCCTCAGTCCATAATGCATGACTCTAAAATGCTCAGCCACTATCCATACTGCATGAGCCTAAACTGTTCAGCCACAATCCTTACTGCATGACCCGAAACATCTCAGGCTCGGCCCATACTACTTGACCCTAAACTTCAAAATTTTGTGATAGTTTCTCGTTCTAGAATTTTTTATGTACTTTCTCTCTCTAAAATTTGATATAGTTACTCTCTTAAATTTTAAGATGCTTTCTATCCCTAAAACTTCAAGTTTGAGATAGTTTCTCTCTCTAAAATTTTGAAATAGTTTCTCTTTTTAGAATTTGATATAATGTCTCTCTAAAATTTGATATACTTTCTCTCTCTAAAGTTTAAAATTTGAGATACTTTCTCCCTCTAAAATTTAAAATTTGAGATACTTTCTTTCTCCAAAACTTAAAAGTTTAATTATACTTTTCTCTCTACAATTTTAAGAAGGAAAAGGTTTATATAAGGATACTACCGTATAATGTAGAATTACGGATGCCCCCTCAAAAATCCATCGAAAAAGGTAGTTTTAATGTTGAAAAACCCTTTGATTAATCATCTCGATGTATGACTATGAAAAATAAAAATATTTTAACTCTCAAAAATAGTGCATTTTACAACATGTTATCTACACTGTCCATTGTCAAGATTTTTATATGTTTATAGATCTACTTGATTTTAACCATTTTTAAAATTTAAAATTTTATAATTAGATATCAAAATAGATTTTGAGATAATCCTAATAACATTTTACATCAAAATTATATACTATGATAAAATTTGAAGGGCACCGTACCTCTACACCTACAGAGGCATCCGTATGCCAACTGCACCCTTTTAAGAATACTTTCTCTCTCTAAACTTAAGATTTGATATAGTTTCTCTCTTTAAAAATTTTGAGATAGTTTCTATCTCTAGAACATTTTAGGTACTCACTCCAAAATTTAATATAGTTTCTCTTTCTAAAAATTAAAATTGGAGATTGTTTATCTATCTAAAAAAATATAAATAGTTTCTCTCTCTAAAAATTTGAGATAGTTTCTCTCTTTAGAATATGATAGTTTTTCTCTAAAACTTAAATTTTGAGATATTTTCTCTCTCTAAAATTTTGAGATAGTTTATCTCTCTAAAAAGCTTATGTACTTTCTCTCTCTAAAATGTTAACATCATTTCTCTCTTTGAAAGTTAAAATTTGAGATAGTTTCTTTCACTAAAAATTTTGAGATAGTTTTTCTTTAAAAAAATTTAGGTTCTTTCTCTCTCTAAAATTTTCATACCTACCAAATGTTCCCTATGTTTCCAGTTGAGGGAGCCTGAATAAAACCCATGAGCCTTGAAAATTAAAATAAATATATATATATATATAGACACGTTTTGTTGTGGAAATGAAATCATGGAAAAGTAGGTCTTAATGATTTTGATTTTCTTTATTTTAAGTATCCTAGTCATTAACTTGATGTGAGTTGTCGGTGTCAAAGGAAGGATGGGGGATCTCAAAAGTTGATGTTATGGTAAATCTCTCTAATCTATTTTCTCTTGGTGTGAGTAGATGTCGGCCTAAGGGATTGTGGTTTGCTCCGCCTATGGGTTGTCTGAAGCTAAATTTTGATGGGAGCTCTTTGCGAACCTAGGCCCTATTGGTATTAGTGGTGTTATTCATGATTGTTTTGGAAATATTGTTTTATCTTATGCGGGAGCAATTGGTACTGCCACTGCTAATTTTACGGAATTAAGTGCCTTGCTTAGGGGTGTGAATATTTTCATAGAAATGAGCTCGGGGACCAGTTGTTTAATTGAAGGAGACTCTCTAAATGTTATTAAGTGGTGCAGGAAGGAGCAAAAAATACAGTGGGAACTTCAATCTTTGTGGTTGCAGGTTATGGATGCTATTACATCTATATCTATATCGTTTTCCTATGTTTCCCGTGAAGCTAATGGTGTTGTTGATACATTAGTAAAGGACAACGTTTCTCTTGGTTCTTTTACTATTTCTACAGATGCAATTTCATTTTAAGTTATCAATAAAATTATTGAATGTTGGTAAAAAAAAAGTATCCTAGTCATTAAGCAATCCAAACGGTGGATTTTAGTAATATCTAAGATATTAGAAATCCATGTCTTAAAATCCATGCACCCAAACAGGCCCTAAGACAAAATGAGAGATTTTCTAATTAATGAAAGAATCTGGTTGCTCTCCTTCCTGACTCAGGATACGGTGAGATATAGGAACGTACCAAAGTAGGAGATAAAATATAACAAATTATATAGTGAAAGGGGAGATTTTTTTTAAAAAATAAATATATGGCATCTTTGTGGATCATTCATGACACTCTTATGTGTTCATAGTTTTTGTGCACATCGATGCATCGAGGATAAAACAATTACATTTGATATTTTATAACTCAATTTTTACTTTGCGTAATAGAATAAAAGTACTCTACATTTTTATTTGATAGTCCATAAATTAAAAGTACTATTTTTTTTTTAATGTTACTAAAATCTTATATCTCCTCTTCTACATATGGCGTTTGGACATATCCTACCTAAAAAGCCAATTTTTGGAAGTCACACTTTGACACTTTGTCGAAGGCTAATACATTTATCCTTATTCTATATAGTTTTTATTTGGGTGTGGTTTCTATAAGGTTGCAACTTTAAACAATCCAATTAAGGCGCATCTCCAAACTTTATCATAATATATAATTTTAATGTGAAAAATTATTAGGATTATCTCAAAATTTGTTTTCATATCCAATTGTAAAATTTTAAACTCCAAAATTGGTTAAAATCAAGTAGATCCAAAAACATATGAAAATCTTGAAATGGACGGCCTAGATAATGTGTTGAAAGATGCACTATTTTGGGACTCAAAATCTTTTTCTTTTTATATCCATACATCTCGATGTCGAGATGTTCAATTGGATAGTTTTTCAACATTAAAACAACCTTTTCCAATGGATTTTTGATGTGCATCATTAATTCTACATTTTAAAGTTACAATTTTATATGGACTATTTCCTTTTTCTTTTTCTTTTTCTTTTCATTTTTTGCCTTATTTTATCTTTTAGGTAGCTCAGATTTATCTTTTAGGTAGCTCAGTAATAGGAATTGAATATGAAAGGCTTTTTTTTTTTTTGGATAAGTAAATAGGATGGGCACTGCCAAACAATAATAGCATGAACACATAAAAAAAAAAAGAAATAATAGCATGGATTACACGAGGAAAAGGATGACAAATGGAGGCCAACCTAACAAGAGCAACTGATGGAGGTTGTCGGTGCAAAGGGGAAATAATTAAAGAGGGTTCCCCCTTTTTGTTGTTCGATAAGAGAAGATTGGGTTATAGAACCGCGCTGTACTACTTGTACCAGTTAAAACATACCAAAATAAATCGTTGGGCATTTCATAGGTTCCCAGGATCCTAAAAGTTGGAACTCCAAGTGATTTAACCTTGCAAAACACCAAAGTTTAGTAAAGGTTGTTTTTACCATATGCCTCTCTTTCAATATGCATGTATAAAATCTCCCTCATTCTATATGTATGCCCAAGTTAAATGTGTCGACCTAACCTACCCCATATAAGTTCAAAAGTTCACTAGACAAGGTTGTTTCGATGCTTAAAAACCCTCTAACTAATCATCTCGAAGTTAAGATGTATGGACACGAAACAAGGATTTTAAGTGTTAAGAATAATGTATCATGTAATGCATTATTTATACCATCTATTTTTAAGAGTTCAATAATTTATACATCTCAATCTACACTCTCTTTTTAGCTTTAAATTTTATAATTAAGGACGCATAAAAATTTCAGGTAATTGAAAAAATTTCTAACACCAAAATAACGTCTTTCAATTGGATTTCAAAGTGCCCCGTACCTTGATTGTTTAGGATTGATGCATCAAGCGCACGCACGCATTAAAATCTCATAGAAGGTGTCAACTTTATACTGCAAAAGTGGGACACACCTCAAATACCTATTGAGAAAGGTTGTTCCAACGCATAAAAACATTTTAGTTGGCCATCTAGACTTTGAGATGTAAGGATAACAAAAGAAAAATAAAGTCTTAAAAATAGTACATCTTGTAATACATTTCCTACACAATCCATTATCAAGATTTTCAAATGTCTATAATTTTTTTTTTCAATCTACACTATTTTAATAGCTTTAAATTTCATAATTTACCGTTGTTTCTAGAAATTGGAAGAGTTTCCAGCACCAAAACTGCATATTCCAATAGAGTTCAAAAGTGTGTATATATATATTCTTCTTCCCGCATGTATGCAGTCGAGAGATTGGCAACCTGAGATATGCGAAGATAGAAAAACGTGCTGGTTTTTGGGATGGAATAGGTTACCGTTCCTAACTCTTCCTACAAAAGATATGTCACGACACTTGTATTTCCTGGCCTAGAGAAAATTGTTCTCATGTTGAGATTCATTTAGTGCAACAAAATAAGACTTGGGGCGTTCGCAAGAGTATTCACGATAGCTTTTGCTCTTTTGCCCCGTCCAAAAAGGTTAGAGAAAGCCCTCATAGGTTATAAACCATATTTAGCAAGCAGAGAGTTTACTCGGTCTTATTTGAATGTTTTATATATTTTCGTAGTCCGCCCCAAATCCAAGAATGCTAAGTGAAACAAATAAAAATTAAAAAAATGTAGAGTGAATAAATTTTACTTATTCCGAATAGAAGGTGATGGTGATACTGGAGCCTCTGAAAGATAATAATTTAGGCCAATCAACTGAAAAATCTAACTCTATCTTTACCTCACAACACATTACACACATGGTTTCTGGCATGGCAAATTACGTTTGTAGCTCAAATTCAACAAATTGCTTCCAAAACTTCCACAGACTATCATGATGAATACTACCCAGTAAGAGGGAACCTCCTTCGGAAATTGGACCAATTCCTAGAGCTGGCTATTTACGACGAGATAAGATGCCCTGTTCACTGATCCTTGACATTACACAGGGGTTTCCATCTGCTCAATCACAGTTTTCTCAGAAGGAGCTGAGTTGCTTTTGTCTCCACCTGATTCCTTGACAACAAAGTCCTGTTGGCTTTCTTGTAGCCTTCGGGCTTTCCCAATTGCAAGAATAAGTTCTAGCTGCTTCTGCTGTTGTTCCTAAAATGTACAAGACAAGGTTCAGCAATATAATCTAGAAAACTGCTCGACAACGACCATATGTAACCAAAGCAATTCAAATCATTAAAGAACAAGTCATTTTGTTCAGCCCATGCTTTGTGCACATGTATGGAGTTGACTGAGAAATTGCAGACAGCCAATTTCTAGGAAATTCCTAGAAGTAATATTTTATCAAGTCAGGAGAGCATCTGGTTGAAATGCAGAACTGAGGGATATTGGCCTACCCTCACCAACCATGCAACTAGAAACTGGGATACAAATTAAAATTGTTGCAGAGAAAATTACACTTCCAGAGAAGGAAAGTTGCTTCATGGTATATCAGAAGCAGAAAAAATTATCTATGCATTATAGTAGCCAAGGTCATTGCATACTGCAAGAAACAGAGGTTAAATCTATAAATACATCAATGAGAAACATCAGGCATGTGTGATCATACACATTATGGCAGAGCCTCGAAATTTGGAATCCAAAACTTAAACTTCTATCAACCAAGAAGACATAGTAATCTTTAAAATTTGAATCACTACATCTTAGATAGAGGAACTGAATAGTTCTATGCCTGAGAGGTTGTACCTAATTCAAGATTTTTCGTCTTAACCTAGTATTGTGTTAGCATCTGATATAGATACATTTGTAAGAAACACCAAACCAAAATTAGCCTTTCAAACACAACATGCACATACATCATTTAAAGCATCAGATGCGTGAGTCTAAGTGACATTGAAGACTGTCACAATAGAATTTCTAACAGAAAAATTCAAGAAGGAAATTCCAAGTTCCTTAAGTGTTGGACGTGCATGTCCCTAGCGTGTGGAAACATCCAGAGAACCATGGACACGTGCATCCAAGTTACATACATTTAACTGATTAAAGGAATTGGATTAGCACATATATCAATTATTTGGCTTATTTATTATTTCTACACTGGTAGAGATTTAGAAATCTTAAACACATCAAAACAGTGACATTCTAAAAAATTTAAGTCTGCCAAAGAAAGTCCACAGTATATCCAAAAGTCAAAATACAAGCTTAATTCAATAACACTTTCTCACACTCGAGGAGATGAGCAACAAGTATACCTGACACAGCAATACAATCATCATATTTATAAACTTTTGCAGTGGAAGTCCCACCGTAAGAAACAATTGTTTGAACAAACTGACAACATGATTTCCAAGTAAGATTGTGTTGTCCCTTTTATTCAAAAGGCGTCCAACACCTCGTATCGTCGCATTTTTTCTTGCTATTGACATCTAACGAATTTCAGTCTCTTCTTCTGTTATTAAAGTTTTTAGTTCTTTATGCATGCATGCACTGACAGACACACATACTACATCGACATAACACACTATACTTGCAGATGGATAACTATATATACACATAGAAAACAAATACACAGGTACATATACATGTGATTGTATGTATGTCTGAATGCATGCAAGCACAGGCAAGCTTGTGGATGTGCAAGTGTATAAGAGAGAGAGAGTTTTACATATCATTTTGGATGAGAGAGAGAGAGTTAATTTTATGTATCGTTTTCAGAGTGTGATATCCAATGCTTGAAGGTCAGCCAACCATCTGGAATAGAATCAAAAACACTTGCACTAAGGTTTCTCAGCAAAGGGTAGGGGCCCAAATCCCCATTGACTACCCTTTGAGAATGGGTTGGGGCCATGGCGGTAGTAGCAACGAGCCCAATGATGAAGTCTTTGACTCCATTCTCACAAAAGGGTAGGGGCCCAAATCCCCACTGACTTACCCTTTTTTGTATAGAGAGGATTCAACGAAACTTCTTATGGGCAGGTGTTGCAGAAAATAAGGGTGTCCATCTTGTTATATGGAGGACAGTTTACCTTCTTTAGGAGAAGGGTGGGCTAAGTACGGCAGATTTCAATACTGCCGGTATGATGAAGCTGTCCTGGAGGATTTTAGCTAATCCTTCTTCTTTGGTTACCTGTTTTTTCAAGCATAGATACTTCAGAACGTGTTCCATTTGGGAATCTGAAGCTAAGAGCGATTGTTCTCACGCTTAGAAGGGCATTCACGTCGGTTTATCAAAGCTAAGTGAGAATGTTCAGTGGTGCATTGATAATGGTCAGACCGTGGATTTATTGATAGACCCATGGCTATCAGTACAGTCAATTTGGGATTCTTATCATGAAAATGACCAGATGGAGTTGGGGGAACTTGAAGGCCGTAAGGTTCTGATTTTATTGATAGTAACCCTAAAGGTTTCTGATTTTATTGATAGTAACCCCCAATCATGGGTATTGCCTTCATCTTCATCCACTATCTTGAATAGCATATGGAGAGATGTGGAACATCATGTCCTTCCGTTGCAGTCTAAGAGGGACTCATTGGTATGCATTCATTCTGCTAATGAGACCTTCTCAATCAAAGTAGCATGGAACTTCATTTGTTATAAAAGTTCACCACAACCTATATTTCGGGCTCTTTGGTCTGCCAAATGTCACCCACGGGCTAAATGGTTCTCTTGGCTTGCTATGTACAATCGGTTATCGACTACATCCACATTTCAGCAGCGAGGTATTCATATGGCTACTATCTGGCCTTTCTGCAGAAACAACAAGGACAATTTATGTCATCTCTTGTTTCATTGCACCTTTTCACAGGGTGTTTGGTGGTCCTTAGCTTGGCGGTGTGGTAAGAGATTTGTGCTTTAATCTTCGGCCCAGAATATACTCTGTAGTTAGCTAGCTTTTAAATTTAAATCAGATGGGTCCTCAACATCTAGACTGCTATTTTCTTTACAACAATCTGGTTTCTATGAGAAGAGCGAAACAGAAGAGTCTGTCAATCTAGCACATGAAGGAGAGAGCAGGTTGTAATTCGGATTACTTCACATGTCAAGGCTCTAGTAGAGGCCAAAAAATGGGCCCTTCATTTGTCAGAAAAGGCGATTATTGGCAATCTTCTGATTAATTGTTGCCAGTATAAGCCAACATCCCTAATTCCAGTCGCATGGCCATTCCCTGAGGCCCAGTGTTACAAGCTGAATATTGATTGTGCGTCCCTGCTAGAAGAAGGTATTCTGCATAATTAGGTATTCTTTGCTAGAAGAAGGAATTCTTTTAACTGTTCAGAAGGGATGCTTCCCAATACAGATAGAAAGTGATTCATCTTTACTAGTAGAGGTTATTCAAGATCAACGTCGAACCCCATGGAGAATATAGATGATAGCAAACAATGTTGGGTCAGGCTCTCGCCCTATAAGTGGTTTGCTGCCATGTCTTTCGCGAGGCGAACATGGTAGCTGATGCCCTCACTAAGAGAGCATCGGTTTACTCAGGTGCCACAATTTGGCGTAGTCATCCACCAGACTTTCTCTCTCTTCTTTTATTGCAGCTACCACTTATAGGGTTGTATAATAACATGTTATTCCTTTGTCTTTAATGAAAAATCAAGTAGGGGGCCTTCTTTCCCACTTACTTACGCAAAAAAAATATTCAAGAAAAGCATCCATACGACAAAAAAATTTAAGGAAATAAAATTCAGCTGGCTACGAAAGGCATATAGGAGCTACTTCCAGAACCTTCCTTTTGTGCCTAGGTATCATCAATAACCAAAAATTTTAACACTACCCTTATTTCTAAAATTATTTAACATCATATCAATGGCTGTAACAGCCTCATAACCCCACCAACCACCACCCATCAATTAGTCTACATCACCACTACAGGTAAGACTCACCTGATTTCTAGATATTGCCACTCTCACCATACTCTAGTCCATAAAAATGTCAACATAATTGGATCCCAAAATGAAGAAGCCTAAAACCAAGAACCTTTATCTTGGTAGACCAAAAATGAACCTGTCATGCGCATTTCACGATGCCTTCATTAAAATCCCCTAGGCAAACTCTAGCGTGTCAAGTCCATCAGATAGATACATTGCCCAGGGGCCATTAGCCAACAAACTGCTAGAGAAGCTTTATGGACATGGGAAGAATGGAAGTCGCCATGGGTGACCAACCTGGTGAACCCAGTGAGCAGGCACCTGCCATGTGGACAAGGCTCTGAAATCCTAATAATAAGGTTTCTTCTAAAGGAAAAGTCAATCATTTTCACCAATATATAGTTGACCTCATGGAAAGAATAACCCTTTTCCTAGTTATCAGACCAAGCTTCTTATGTAAAGACATTAAAATTAAATTGCTTCGCTAGCAGTTGAGCCACCAGCAATAAGCCAGAGACACCATCGTAACCTACAATTCCACCTCCCAAAACATAGGGACATCACGTGACTGTACAAACATTAAAAGGAAAAACCATATAAGAGCACAGCTGCTTGCATCCTAAGAGTACACCAGCAGAAAGCTCCTGTCACCAACCATGTCCAGCTCAATATCTCCATAAGATAGCCAAGGAGGATTGTTTTATTGAGAATAAATTCAACTGTCGTACTGCAAACACAGCACAAGTTAAACCACCAGCACATGGCCCCATGAGTGGATATTTGTCCAATGTGCCAATTTGTAAGATGGGTTCCAAGGGTCCTCCAGAAAAAGAACACAGACCATGGTAAGCTTTCCCCAGACCATCACCCCTACCCTTTATGACCTTCAAAGAAGAAGCCAAAAGTTTCATGGCGAACTTCAAGAGGACACATATGCATCCAGCATTATGCTTCCACTGGAAAGGTAAGAACCAGCGCAAGCTCCTCTTCATTTACATTGAAAACAATATATTTCAGTATTAGTTATTTTATTATGTATCATTTTTTTTTTTTTTTGAGAATGTTAACTGTTGTATTGCTAAAAAGAAAAAAGGTACATCTTTTATCATGCATTTTGTTATGTGGTTATCGGGCAACATTGTCTTTCTACCCATACTTAACGATAATCGTGTACTTTTCACATTATTACTATTATAAATAAGAATGAGAAGAGCATGTGGGTCTAGTAATCCAAATGCGGCAGCCATTCTCTCTCCTCTCATCATCTCCTCGCCCTCATACTA